TCTGTACAAACCACTTTGGACCGAATAAGCAAGAGCAAAAAAGCAGAACAACGGCGACTTGACGACGTAAGTGTGTGATCTTATTAAATAATATCGGTTTCTTCATCTCGTTGCTGTCCATTTATCATTCATACTCTCAATCTTACAATCATGACATCTGTAGTCTCTCATCTACGTCAGTCATTGAAATGAAGAGAAATTTTGATCAGTAACATTTGAGTGTGCGAAAACCATTTGTCCACATTGATCATGCTCCAAGTGAAACTCCTAAATCAGTAAATCATCTTGGAAAAATTTGATTTTTCGATTGAATTTTCACCAAGAACGCATACAGTTTCCGCTTCCAGCCGTCTAGTGATGAGGCATTTTTTGTTAGCTTTCTTACATTCCCTCTTGTCTGAATCTCCATAAGTGACACAATGTGCATATTGGCTTTGAAAATGGCTGCTCATGGCTTCACATCGTTTGGCTGATTATTAGTCTCTGTCTGTTTAAGCAAGGCAATCTATCGGTATTATCGTTCTAACAAAGTGATTAGGAATTCAGCCATTCCTGGTGTTCTTTCCGTTTGTTTAAGTGTTGCCGTGTCCCTAATTTGTGTAGCATCATTGGTCCTGATTTTTTTATGTTCAGATTCGTCTTCGTGGACGAGAACTAGCTGGCGAAACCTCCCTACCCGGCGAAGCTCAACAAGTGCTCGATCGCAGCAAAATTCTTTCCGATGAGTGGGATCAACTTAGCGATAACATTGATGGTGCGAGTTTTATAAAATGTGTTGAAATGTTGCAAATTTTCCGCTTTAGCGATGCGTGACAGAGTTAGTCAAGCCGAAAAATGGGTAGACGGCTATACGGGTATCGAAAAATGGTTGAGCGCTAAGCGTCGTATGCTGGCTGCAGTAGGAGTGGCATCTACAGATTCGGCAGTCGCTAGCAGTCAGTTAGGACAAATCCAGGTAGACACGGTCTTGGATGGTTTGTAGTGTGAGCATAGAAGGCACAGCCGCTTTATAGATGATCAAAGCTGAATTGGAAAGTGAGCGAGCAACCTGGGCGAAACTCAACGATGTCGCACAGAGGCTGTCCCCGGAGTCATCTGACAGTGCTGTGTCATTCGCGGTAAGGGACAAACCATATATTTTCAAAATATTATCTCGTATCGGTTCGTTCCATACTAAGTCCGGAGTTTTATAGATGAGCGATCTCAACTCTCGATGGAGTGATTTGGAAAGGGACCTATCTGACAAGGAACAAAATATTTTGCAAGCATCGAATCTAGGGGCAGAAAT